TATCTGAAATATTATCATCTGTATGAACCTTTTCGAGTTGTAACAATTTTGAATCTAACACATCACGAATCCAATGGTATCTCACATCAATGTGTTTCGATCTCGAATGAAAAGTAGAATTTTTACTCAAGTGAATAGCACTTTGACTATCACAATAAAGCACATACCTTTCTTGTTTCAAACCTAACTCTTGCAAAAATTTCTTCAACCATAACTCTTCTTTGCAAGCTTCTATAATGGCAATAAATTCAGCTTCGGTAGTTGAGAGAGTAACACATTTTTATAATTTACATTGTCATGCCACAGCTCTCCCTGCAAATGTCATCAAATACCCCAAAGTAGATTTTCTAGAATTAATATCACCGGCCATATCAGAATCCGTGAACCCATCAAGCATCGATTTACCATCCTCAAAACACAAACATACCTTCGAAGTCCCTCGAAGATACCTTAGAATCCATTTTACCGCTGCCCAATGTTCTTTACCCGGATTAGAGAGAAACCGACTCACCACACCAATGGCGTGAGCAATATCCGGCCTTGTACAAACCATGGCGTACATCAAAGAACCAACTGTTGAAGCATAAGGAATTTTCAACATCTCTTCTTTGTCTTTCTCACTTGTAGGACATTGATTCGAACTAAGCTTGAAGTGACTCGCAAGTGAACAACCAACCGGTTTTGCTTTATTCATGTTGAACCTCTCAAGAACTTTCTCAATGTAGCTTTCTTGAGACAACCAAATCAGTCACTCTTTGCGATCACGAACAATTTTCATACCAAGTATTTTCTTTACTGGTCCCAAATCTTTCATAGCAAATGACTTGCTCAACTTCAATTTTAACTTGCTAATCATGGTAGAATCTTGACCCACAATTAACATGTCATCAACATAAAGCAAAAGAATAATTAATTTGCCATTCGAAAAAAATTTCACAAACACACAATGGTCCGAAGTGGTTTTAGAAAAACCATTATTCATCATGAAAGAGTCAAATTTTTTGTACCATTGCCGCGGGGCTTGCTTGAGGCCATACAAACTTTTCTTCAATTTACAAACAAATTTTTCTTTCCCTTTTTCCACAAAACCTTCCGGTTGCTCCATGTAAATTTCTTCTTCAAGATCACCATGAAGGGTCTTCACATCAAGTTGTTCAACTTCAAGGTTCATACTTGCAGCCATGCCAAGTACAACCCAAATGGAAGACATCTTCACAACTGGCGAGAAGATTCCATCAAAGTCAATACCTTTCTTTTGTCCAAAACCTTTCACAACAAGACGTGCTTTGTACCTCAGATTCTTACTATCATTCTTCAATTTGAAAACCCACTTATTTTTCAGAATTTTCCTCCCCTTAGGCAACTTCACTAAATTATAAGTGTGATTTTCAAGTATGGAATTCATCTCCTCTTCCATTGCCATTTTCTAATCATCTTTCTTTGTATGCTCAATTGCTTCTTTATAGCTCTCAGGCTTCCCTTGATCGGAAATCAACACAAATTCATTGGGATGATACTTTCTTGAAGGTTGTCGGTTCCTTATAGATTTTCTCAACTCAAGTTGTGATGGCAATTCTTGAGTTGGATGCTCTTCCTCAATTTTTGGCTTAACTTCATTAGAATTAGCATCATCCTTCACATCTTCAATAAGTGGCTGAACATCTCCCCCATTTTTATCATTAACTGAAGATGAAGGAGATGGATCCATGTCAATGAGATCACTAGTTTTGGCTCCGGTTGATCACCTTTGCCAAAGTCTTCAATTGTTTGGTCTTCAAGAAACACAACATCATGGCTTCGAATGACTTTCTTGTCAACCGGATCCCACAATCTATACCCAAATTCATCATGCCCATAGCCAAGAAAAATACATTGTCTTGACTTATTATCAAGCTTGGACCTCTTCTCCTTTGGAATGTGAAGAAAAGCTCGGCAACCAAACACTCTCAAGTGCTCATAAGACACATCTTTGCCAGTCCAAACTCTTTCAGGAACATCACCATTCAAAGGATAGGAAGGAAACAAATTGATCACGTCAACCACTATCCTCATTGCCTCACCCCAAAAGGATCTTGGCAATTTAGCTTGTGAAAGCAAACACCTTGATCTTTCCACAATGGTGCAGTCCATCCTCTCGGCAACGCTATTTTGTTGAGGAGTCTTCTTAACTATCTTTTGGTGCCGAATACCTTGGCTGCGACAATACTCATCAAATGGCCCAATGTATTCACCACCATTGTCTGATCGGATGCACTTCAATTTCTGCCATGTTTCTCTTTAAACCATGGCCTGAAAATGCTTAAATACTTCTAGAACTTGATCTTTAGTTTTTAGTAGAAAAGCCCAAACTTTTCTTGAATAATCATCAATGAAAGTAACAAAATAAAGTGCACCACTATGTGTTCTAACTTTCAAAGGACTACAAACATCCGAATGAATCAACTCCAAAACATTTTCTTTTCTAGAAGCAAAATTTTTATGAAAAGAAACTCTATGTTGTTTACCCGCAAAACAATAAATACAAGTTTTAAGATGTGTACCTTCCAAACCGAGTAGAAGCTCTTTCTTGAACAAAACTTGTAGCCCCTTTTCACTCATATGGCCATGCCGCTTGTGCCATAATTTGGTAGAAGTATCATCTTCAAGTGCGTTGACAACACCTTTACAAACTTTTCCTTACATCGAATAAAGTGTATAAGGCTTCTTACACTTAGCCACCACCAAAGAACCCTTTGTGAGCTTCCATATTCCATCACCAAATTTGTTGTTAAAGCCTTCATCATCTAGCTTCCCAGTAGAGATCAAATTGAGGCGAATGTCAAGAACATGCCTCACATCTTTAAACAACAACTTGCAGCCCAAATTTGTTTCCAAGCAAACATCACCAATGCCAATAATCTTGGACAAACCTTCCTTACCCATTCGAACAGAACCATAATCTCCTTTGGTGTAGGTAGTGAAGAAATTAACCCGAGAAGTCACATGAAAAGAAGCACCAGAATCAATCACCCAATTACTCTCTTGGCCCACAAAATTGATACAACCATCTTCACAAACGACCATGAGATCACCATTGGTAGTAACTACTGTTGTGTCTTCTTGCTTCTTATCCACACTTTTGTCACGCATTTTCTCCTTGTTCTTGAGCTTTCGACATTCTCGCTTCATGTGCCCTTTCTCATGGCAATAATAGCACTCAATGTCTTTCTTTGAAAAAAAACCATCTCTTGATTTGTCACGGCTTTGATCACGACCATGAGGAGTCTTACTCCTCCCCCTTGTTTTGTTTCGATCTCTCACAACAAATGCTTCTGAATGAGAGGAACCCCCTGATTTTCTTCTAGTTTTTTCATTCAACAGGCTACTAATGACTTGGCCCATTGTGACAACTCCATCGGGCGCCGAATTACTAACTGTCACAACCAAAGTCTCCAAACTTTCGGGTAAAGAACTAAGTAGAATCAAAGCCTGTAACTCATCATCAAAAATAATTTTCATAGAAGTAAGTTGGTTAACAATACTCTTTATTTCATTCAGATGTTTCGGAATAAGACTGCCCTCTTTATATTTTAAATTAACCAACTTACGAAACAGAAAAGCTTTATTTGTGGCTGATTTCCTATCATAAAGGCCTTCTAATTTTTTTCATAAATCATGTGCCGAAGTTTTAGTAGCAACATGATGAAATACATTGTCATCAATCCATTGACGGATAACACCAACGGCTTTTCGATTAAGCCTATTCTATTCATCATCTTTCATACCCTCAGGTTTGCCACTATCACCGTTAATGGGTCTATACAAATCTTTACAAAATAATAGGTCCTCTATTTTAGTTTTCCAAGTTACCCAATTGCTTCCATTGAAGCTAGACATATGACCCACATTCCCCTCCATTGATTTACACAAATAAATAAACCCCAATAAACCGTAAGCTCTGATACCAGTTGTTAGGGAAAATATGTGATTCCCCACAAGTAAATCAATCAATGAGAATAAAAATTAATATGAAAAAATTAAATAAAAAACAACACAAGAATTTTTACGTGGTTCTCTCAATGTGAGGTACGTCTACAAGATTGAAATATGATTCCACTATCAACCAAACAATTTCCAAACGATTACAAACGAGACACGAATGGTCTCACAAAACCACCCTTAGGTGAATTCCAAGTAATCAAAAATAAACAAGAGGAAAGACCTCACCAGATAGATGAACAAAAATCTTCGAAATCAGATTTGTAGAAAATCCAAAATAATGAACTAAATCAACTTCAAAGTAAAGCCAATAAACCAAGCAAACTAGCAGCCAAAAAAATAGCACTCTTTGACTCAAAAGTGAGATTTTTCCCAAGCACAATCTCACTGAAAAAACCAACTAGCTGCTGCCGTTTTTCTTCACTCCCACAGGGCAAAAACATAAACATATATGTATGTATATATATTGTTGATTATGGGCTTTTCAATCAAAATCCTAGTTGTTATCAAATTGAATATCAAATACCTATTAGGATTCCAAAATTCAGATATAATATATAAAATATATTATACCAAAACCAAACCAAATTAAAATACTTTTAATAAATCAATTGGATCTCACACTCCAATATGGAGGTATACCCAACACCATGTGTGTTGATCTTAGAATATAGACCGAGGCAATTCAAACTACAAGCCAAGACCAAGTCAACACATAAAAAATTCATCTATATGCTTTAGTAAAAAAACACACATCCAACATTTGAACAAACGGGTCAACTAAAACCCAAAGACTATATAAACACATGTACATGTAACATCTATACATCAAATCTCCAACAACATTTCCATTACAATCTCTAGCTCAAATTTCTTTTCCTTTGCACAAACAAATAAGCCTTCAAATAGTTACAAACAAAAGGGTCATTTCTTAAGTTAAAAAGAGAAGAAGATGGTTTCTCATAGATTTCTCTTCACAACTTTGTTCATTGTGACCATTTTGTTCTCTTCAACTTGTTTAGTACAGCTTACAGAAGCCACGAGACCTCAGATGGTTCCATTGCTCATCCAGTCCATCCTCAGAGGAAAGGTGCCGCCAACCGGCCCTAATCACTGCACTTACATCCCTGGCAAAGGTACCGGTACTTGCACATAGTGGTGCGAATTGAAAAATTATTAGCCAGTACTGGAATGTAAAGCAATAAAGTTTCAGCTACCTATCACCTTTAGAATGATATAGGGGTTACATATTTTTCCCTTGTTATTTGGGACAACCATTAAAACTTTTGGTTGTTCACCCATGTGCATGGTGTAATTTATAACCCATTTCAATTTATTTATTTATTTTATTTTGTTTTACAATTGTTTTGACGATATATACTAATCATGGTTTTAAATATCGGATTTTTATTGTTCCAAGATCGCTACACTCTGGCTAGTTTATAACACATATCGATACATAACAGATTCACAACTAATCAATTTGGCTAATTCAACTACTGTAAAACTTTTTTATGCTATTGATGATTATAAAAAAATTCACGACCACAACGCAATATTTGATTTCCAATACACATCTCTTGATTATAATCATTTCTAATACACGTATATTTATTAAAAAATAAAAGTGATGCTTTTGAGAAATTTAAAGAATTCCTTCTTGAAGTGGAAAATCGATTCGGTAAAAAGATTAAGAGAATTAGAAGTGATAGAGGCTGGGAGTATGAATCTCTTGGATTCAACTCTTTTGTTCAGTCATTAGGAATTATTCATGAGGCTACCCCATCATATTCACCTTCATCTAATGGCGTAGCTGAAAGAAAAAATAGGACGTTAATTGACTTGATGAATGCTATGCTTATTGATTCAGGTGCTCCCTCAAATTTTTGGGGCGAAGCTATTTTGACAGTTTGCCATGTAATAAATAGAGTGCCACACGAAAAGACTAAAATTGTACCTTATGAGTTGTGGCGGAGGCATAAACCAAATTTAGGTTATTTGAGGGCATGGGATTGTTTAGCTTTTGTGAGGCTTGCAGATCCTAAATGACCTAAATTGGGTGAACGAGTTATCACTTGTGCTTTTTTTGGGTATGCGTTGCATAGTACAACTTATAGATTTTTTTATATGAAAAATAATATTATTTTTGAATAAGGTGATGCTATTTTTCATGAAAATAAATTTCCTTTAAAATCTAAAAATAGTGGGGGTCAAATAATTTCTGAAAATATTTTATCCATGCCTAACTCTTCTACTCCATCTCAAATTTTTCAAGAACAATAAAATTCTCAAATCTAACCAAGGAGGAGTAAACGAACTAGAGTTGAAAAAGATTTTGGCCCTAACTATTATCTTTACAATGTGTAAGAAATTCCTCTTACGGTGCAAAAAGCTTTATCATCACCTGATGCTATATTTTAGAGAGAGGCTGTAAATGATAAGATAGATTCACTACTTTCAAATAAAACATGGAAGTTAGTGGATTTACCTCCAGGTTGTAAAACTTTTGGGTGTAAATGGGTCCTTCGTAAAAAACATAAACCGGATGGAACTATAGATAAATGTAAAGCGAGACTTATCGCTAAAGGTTTTAAGCAACAAATTGATCTTGATTTCTTTGATACTTTTTCTCCAGTTACGAGAGTTGTATCTATTAGACTGCTGATAGCAGTGGTTGCAATTCATGATTTAAAAATTCATTAAATGGATGTAAAAATAACATTTTTAAATGAAGATCTAGATGAGGAGATTTACATGGACCAACCCGAGGGCTTTGTGGAGCCTAGCCAAGAAAACAAGATGTGTAAGCTAACTAAATCCTTTTATGGTTTAAAACAAGATCCTAAATAGTGGCATGAGAAATTTGATTCCTGCATGCTTGAGAATGACTATAAGACTAATAAATGTGATAAGTGCATATATTATAAAACTTGTGAGAATGCACATGTGATTATTAGCCTATATGTGGATGATCTACTTATCTTTGGCTCTAATTTGCATATTATAAATGAGACTAAAAATATACTTAATAGCCACTTTGATATGAAAGATCTTGGTGAAGTCAATTTTATTTTGGGAATTAAAATTACCAAGACTAATAATGTCATTTTTCTTGATCAATCGCATTATGTTGAGAAAATTTTAAAGAAATATAATTTTCTAGACTGTAAGCATATTGCTACTCCTTTTGATGCAAATATACATTTATCTGTTGTAACAAATGAAAAAGAAGTGATTAATCAAAAGGAATATGCTAGCATGATTGGTAGTTTGAGATATGCTACTGACTGTACTAGACCTGACATTGCATTAGCCATGGGAAGAATTATGAGATATTTATCTGGTATTAAAAATTATGGTTTGTTTTATAACAAGTATCCTGCGGTACTTGAGGGATATAGTGATGCCGATTGGAACACTTTGTCAGGTGATTCTCTCTCTACCTCTGGTTTTATTTTTACCTTGGGTGGTGGTGCTATATGTTAGAAGTCTAAAAAACTAACTACAATTGCTAATTCTACAATGGAAGCTGAGCTTATAGCGTTAGCTTCAGCATGTGAGGAAGCGAATTTGTTAAGAGATTTGTTACATGAAATCCCTTTTTGGGAAAAACCAATTCCTTTTGTGTTAATTCGTTTTGATAGCACTGCTGCTATTGGTAGAGTGAACAATCATTTTTATAATGGTAAATCCAGATCTATTCGAAGGAAACACAGTAATGTGAGATCCTATTTACGTAATGGCATCATAACTGTGAATTATGTAAAATCTTGTGATAATCTTGCAGATCAGTTAACCAAGGCCTTGGCTAGAGATAGGGTTTGGAATATATCAAGGGGGATGGGTTTGAAGCCTATAAAATCATAAACCATGTATGAGGATACCCAACTTGGGGACTAGAGATCCTATAACTAGGTTTAATGGGAAGAACAAATCATATGGTGGTTGTAAAAAATGCACTCCTTTATATTTTGTTGTCCATCCCTATGATGTAAGTGCATTTGTCCTATAATGTAGGAGGGTTGAGTTTCTATACTCTTAATAAAATTCTGTAGCTCTTGTAGAGTGGGGTGTGCCAATTTCAGGAACATTCTTGACAGATTTCACCTATGTGAGCATGAAAGTGGGGCCGCTTTCTGTGAGAACAAGACTTATTCTCATATATGCTCATGAAAACTGGAATAAGCACAAGGTCGTAATGTGCTGGCTATTAAAAGCTCATGTCAACACCTGGATTATTATGTGTGAACATTAATACTTTATTTCCCCTAAGTAGTCATAGTTCAAGTCTGAGACCACTACTGACTCTAAAGTAAAGGTTACTGTTTCACTAATGAAGGTTCAATGCAGGGCACACGTTCATGATGCATACTAGTCTATCTTTGTTTGGTAATCTCTTTTGTCCTTGTTGATATTAAAATGAGTGAGGGATTGTTGGACCATTTTAATATCTTTTATTTATTTATATATTTTTGTTCATGAATCTTCTTTTGTCTTGTTCATGAATGGAAATTCATTGTTTTGGTAACCTTTTATCTTGTTCATGAATAGAGATTAATTGAAGTTCATAGACTTGGGGGTGAGTTAATATTTGGAGACTCTCCATTTTCTCCAGTTTAATGGTCATTATTATTTTTTGGTGTAAATTGTAAGGTCCTAGTAGCCTATAAATAGTTCCTCTCATCTACTCTTTTCTACACCAGCTATTGTTTATACTTGATAGATTACTAGCAAAGAAGGGTGTTTTCATTGGTGGAGTTTTGGGTTCACCATCTTGTGCAGAGTTGGCCTGAACCATACGACAAGTGGTGTTGTATCCTGGAGGAGACAAGTTATAGTTTTGTAACTGCTACATCGATATTTGGGTTTTTCCTACTACAGTGGGCTTGATCTCCTTAAAGAAAATGAGATATCTGTGCCTCAGCCTGATCTATTTGTATCTCATTTTCTTTGCATTATTTATCAATAAAATATAATTCTTTTGGCATTTTTACCAATAGTATAAGCATTTATTTTATTTTTATCATTTCTTAGAAACTACTATAACTCAGATTTAAGAGGAAAGAGAATCACCTCGATGCTCTACATGGGGCTTGACTCACAACCTCTACATTGGTGTGGTAGAAGGGTCAGGCACTAAAAGTAATGTTAGATTTCTAAAATGTTACTTTTAAATTTATGCACACTAATTTTGTATGAGGGTTAGGTTTTAAATTTACACACTGATTTGGTAGAAGGGTTAGATTTTATTTGGCTGATTTTTAAATAAATTAATAATTAATATGCAATAGCCTACATTATTGAGTCTAAAATCAAGGGTGATATTTAAGAAATCTTCTATGTACTAAACTAGTTCAAGCAAATTTTTGTTTTTTTTTGTTTTTGGTTGGAAGTTATGAAAATTATAACCCCACATTTTTAGGAATGGGAGTTTACATTGGTCCCAAAAAATTATTTAATATTTTAAGAGTATCATTATAATATGTGCACATGATATAACAGATTAATAAATTGCACAAAAGAGTATGAATGGGATTAATATTGTTTCTCATTCAACTCATTATGATAGGTCCAATAAGGATTTTGATCATTTCCATTGCATATTTGTAATTGAGAGGTTTTATTATATCATCCAATCATAAGTATAATGACCTTTTTTTTTTTAAATTCATTATAAATTTATATTCTCACATTATAACTATTAAATTTATAATAAAAAAATTTCATTATATATCCGAAATAAAGAGAATGAAAGTCCATCAAGGCCCATCCAATTACTAATACTTTTTCAAAAAGTGTGGAATGGATAATATGAAAGCAATGAATTTTTCTATTTACCACTTGCCTAAAAGTTTGATTTTGATCCGTGACTTCACTACTAGAAAAATCACTTTTTACATCTATTTTTTTTGCGACTGATTATTTGACCGTCGTAAAAAAAAATTATTTGCAACAACAATCAGCCTAAGCAAAAACTTGCGAGCCCACTATTGGGAACCCACTCATCCCAATTTATATTTTCCTTCATTTCCCCCAAATCTGATTGTGTAAAACTTGCCCTAGACTCTCATTTCCCCCAAATTTGATTTCGCTCGATCGTGTCTGAGGAAGAGAATCTGATTTCCCTCTCTTGATTTCGCTCTATAGATCACCATG